GTCAATAGACTCCTAAACGGCCACTATAATTACAAATATTTAGCAGCATTCCGGCCTCAAGATAGAATGCATGCATCCAAAATATTAAAGGAAAATCCGACACTTAAGAAAATATCGGATTCCGGACTAATGAAACTATTAAAAAATCAAGACTTTGTTTATTCACTTATGAAACCTAAGACAAAGAAGGAACAATACCAATTAAAGATTAGGCAAATTAAAGATAATATACAATACGACCAAAAGACCGAATTGTTTGGAACGATTGACCAAATATTTGTTGAATATCCAGACATACCATTAGTATGACCAACGTTACGGATTTGTGATAAAAATTGCCTCATAAGGAAATTACCGGCAATGTTTAATCCGGACATGTAGATCGATGTGTAAGCCATTTACACCAACAAGGACAGTAACATGTGAAATCTTAGATTTTTTAACGCCCAATCAAATGAAGGAGTTTGTTTACACCATTCTAGATGGCAGTTAACCATACACTCCGTTATGCAAGCATGACTACGTTCCTGGTACACTCCGTTATACAAACATGACTACATTCCTGGTACTAACATGCGGACTGAGTAGATAACACTTAATACAGATTTTGATCAATATACTGCATTTGCATATAGGCGTTATTTTAGGACACAAGTTTGAGGTAAACTAATAGTACTAATAGTTAATTTAGCCGAATACAAATCATAATTTTTTATCATTAAAATCCCTCGGCTAAATGAATCATTAGCTTGTTTCAAACTCTTGCTCCAAAATAACGCCCATAGGCAAATTATAAATCAACTGACAATAATGACTTTTTTTTAAGATTTTAACTAAAAACAGCATTTTATTGTTGTTTTAAAATGTGTATTATCAAGATAATATAAGGTTTATTTGATATTTACTATTAGGACCAACGATCCTTTCGGTCCATCCTAAAAGGGACCGGACCGCCCCAATCCCAGGACGGACCGAAGGATCGTTGGTCCGGACCGGATCGATTAACAGCCCTATACACAATACAGTTTTATTTCTATGTAACAAGAATTTTCACAAAATCTCTAAAGATTACATAATACTACTGTAAACAAAAAAAATAAAATAAAATAGGAAAATTTACGAATCGCCAAACAACTGTAAATTTTTTCAAAACTAAGCGATAATGAATTTCTCTCAAGAACCAACTGAAAGATAAACAAATTTCCCAACCAAAATAAATCACCAACTTATTCTAGGTGCTTCATCTTTTTATGTACTGTTTGAACTATCATGATTTTCTAAAAAAAAAAATAATAATGAATTAAGATTAACGTCTTTAAAATGCATAACTAAAACAGAAGTGAACCGAAAAAAAAAAAAAAAAATTACCTGAAGAGCAAATTGTAATAGATCCCTTAAATTGACGCTTCAAAATCACGAGTAAACACTTTCGTTCTGCGATAAAGAGGAGAGGAAGTGATACGGGATAAAAATCTCAAAGCTTTTTCTCAAAACTTTCCAAGATAAACATATAAATTGGACATAGACCTCGTCATTACTAGACTGAATTTAATTAGAACACCCATAAAATGTTAAGTGTGCTATATATCTAGATAGGAAACCAAATTATCAAGACGGCAACAAATAACGGAGTCGTAAAAGCGATGTTCAATAAAGATCCATTTATCCAGCCGGCAAAATCAGATGTATCAATTCTTCTATTGCGGTCAAAGAAATCTTGAACGGGTATTTAAAGCTTGAACTTTGGGGGATTTCTTTCCACTTTCATAAATTTTTCATTTAATACATTGTTTTTCTTTGGTTTTTGGTGAATTAGACGTCTAGCGATTTTATCTTGTTGCTCATTTATAAGGTCAGCCAACTCTTCAACCAAGTCAGTCACTTCTCCAGCTTCGGCATATACCATGTTACGTGCTACCCACTCTAACATCTTGTTGTTTTCTTGAACAAAGGAGATAAGTGTATCTAGAATTTCTTCAACGTCTTTATTTAACAAAAATTAATCAGATTAATATTATACATTCAAGGCGAAAAAAAGCCCAAATAATATTTTTTTAAAAAAAAAATTATTTACCGTCCCCAGTTTCATGATCTTTGTTTTCTCCTAAGTCTATATCCAGAACTATATATCGAAAAAAAGTTTAGATGTAAGTTCGAATAAATCAAAAAAAGGTAAAGAAAAAGCTCAATTTACCAAGTGCCTTTTCAAAAATTTTTGATAAAAGAAAAAGGACGATAAAGCAAATGATTAAAGAAAACATTTTTTTTTTTTCGTACGAGGTTTTGTTAGGTTTAGGTGAGATTATTTTTTTTTTGTATGTGGTTACGATTTTTAGAGGTTTAAAGGTAAGAAACTTTAAAAAAAGTGAGGGTGTGAGAAGAAAAAAAATGACGCTTTATATCGACATTCGAAATTATCGATAAATAACGTCACGTAACTTCGGTATTTAGAAAAAAAAAATCAGTTGACACTATGGTACTGCCTTATTTAGCAAGCACCACACGTATTAGGGAGTGCTTTTTATGCATAATTTCTTTTTATAAAGAAGGCCAGACTCCCCTCCTAGATGATATTGATAGACTACTAATCCCCCTTTAAAATTACGTAATAGACGGCACTGTTCTTACCGTGACCAGAAGCATATTCACATGAATTTATTCATGACAAAGATGTTTCATTAAGCTGGATCACGCCATCGTTATTTTAGGATGTCTAACATTTAACACGCTAACTTTTTAGGAGGTCTACCTATAACGATAACGATAGCAAATAGAAATTATGTATTTAATATCAGAGATGTGACTCATGATGTATTCCCACAGAATACCGATATACTATATGTGTTTTACAATAAATTACCGAGTCGGTAACAATAATCGGTCAACACTTAGGTTTATTATAGTATTTGAAAATTTGCGTTTATAAACTAATAACTGTATTAATAAAAAATGGTTACATATTGAAGTACATTAAAATTTCTCCGAGTAGATCTATGCTGCAAAATTTGCAAATACGCAAAATTTATCGTTATAATCAAAGGAGGTTCAACAATATATGAAAAAGACTAATCTTTTGAAAAAAAATTCGATTAAATCGGTTTAAATTATATATAATTAAATTATATATAACGATAAACAAATATTAACTATGTGAAAATCCAAACCGATCTGACTTCTGGACTTTAGATAGTTATGTTAACTTCGCTATATAAGAAAAGATCTAATAGTAAAATTCTATAACTCATGCCCACCTCCTTTTCTTTATACAGTACTAGCAGGGATGTTAATCGACTTCTTCGACTCTAATCATCATAATCCGCTTCTTCGACTCTATTCATTAGTGGTATTTACTATAACAAATATACGAGCAGGTTGAATATATCATCTACGGAGTAAATTTTGTTACACAAGAAAATTGTATCAATTGCTAAGATCACGATCAAACGTAATTTTCAAATGATAACGATAACGCAAAAATTGCGCAGTGATATACGTAATTTACTTTTTTTTTTTTATATTAGAAACTTGTAATGATAATAAAAAAGTTCTAACCGATTAAAATTACATCGGAAATTCTGATATATACAATAGAGTTTGTGCACTGATGAAACCATCTTCTATAACTTGATTAAAAATACTTCGTGAGATTTTATCTTTGTACTGTACAGTATATGTATTAACAGTATCGGTATGTTTATTAATTTAGTAGATGTTTGTGTAACAATTGCATTAAATTTTTTGCCGATCTTTGCCTATTGGCGAATCTGCGTAATTACTATTAAAAATTTCAAAATATTTGACAAAGAATAACTTTTGGCCCACTAGTCCATTTTAGATTATTTTACTATCAAAATGACCATCTCAGAGAGACGATTCTAAAGAGCCCAAAATCACAAAAATACAATCACTGAATCCCGAGATCGCTAACGTTTTATTACATCGGGTAAAATAGGATGGATTTAACCAGTATTTAACCCTGATGTATACCTGATGTAAGTAAACCGGTCATTTTCTCGGGATTCAGTGGTTGGATTTTGATGATTTTAGGCTCTTTAGAATCGTCTCACTGAGACGATCATTTTGGTGGTAAAATCATCTAAAATAGACTAGTGGGCTAAAAGCTATTCTTTTGAAATTTTTAATGGTAATTACGCAGATCCGCGGTGACTAGACAAAATAAAAAATTTTTTGGATTTTTCTTTATCAACATTTCTTAATTTAAGCACATAAACAAAAAAAGCCCATATCTAACCTTTTTTAAACATTTCTTAGAAATTAACTATTCAAATTTTAATAATAATTTTTTGAGTTATGCGAACCTGATCGACCAATCAGACTGAAAGATCAAGTGTAACGTGAAATCGAAAAAAAATAGTAATGTTTTAAAAAATCGGTTGTAACTCATAATTTTGCTTATGAAATCTCTTTTCGTGTTCTAACAAAAAAAATCACTTGCCAAATTTTGAGTTAAGATTTTTCGTTAAGGTTCTACCCGAATCTCAAAGGAAGAACTTCGTCTGATTGGCTAGTGTAGATCAATTGTCCGGGTAACTAATTTATATGGTTTACAGTATTTTATAAGAATGTGACGTTTCACTAATGCACTCCAAATAATCATTAAAAACTTGAACGAAGTACTAACGTTCACTGTGCAAAGCCCTTTAGATCATACTCGAAAGGAACTATTTAAAAGACATAGAGGTGATTGATTACGACACTTGCGTGTGAGGAAGGGCACATAAAAATTATAAAGAAACATCTCAAATCACCATAGTCACGCTTCTGGAGAATAATTCTACCTGTTTTTTTCTTGAGCTCCGTGACACTTAATTTAATGTGATAAATTATTAGTTGCACAATGCAGTACTACATTACGATTACACATGCTAAACGTATACAGTAAGTTATTTAGTCTTTCAAAATTTCTACACAAAAAAAGAAAAAACTTTTAAAAGAGATGCAATCGGAAGAGTTATCTTCGTAATAATCCAATAATTAAATCTAAAAAAAATGCACATAAATCACATTCACTACCTACACATTGGAATTCAAAGGACAGTGGGCCCTATATAACTGTTACTGATAAAAATAATTTGAAGCTTGAATATAACGGACCAGGAATAGATTTTTTGGACGAAGCCTCAATTAGAGCTAATAATCCCATTCCACCAGAAGTTGGATTATTTTATTTTGAAATAACAGTTTTAAATAGTGGAGAAGATGGGTAAGTTTATTTTAACAATTATCATCCTGTAATACGTATACTTAGTTGAAGAAAATAATAGACATAAACTACTATTAAGATGTATCGTAATTGGATTTTGTAAGTCAGGTGTTCGGCTTAATCTACTGCCAGGTAGGTAAAGATTTGATCAAAACACTTAGTGCTTTTTATTAATAAGTTTTTTTAAACAAATAAAATAGGATGGGTTTCTGATTCAATTGGATATCATGGAGATGACGGCTATATATATTGTGATGATATATATAGAGCAATGTTTGGACCTTGTTACTCGACAGGAGATACAGTTGGTTGTGGAATTAATTTTTTTAACATGGAAATTTTTTTCACAAAAAATGGGATAAACATAGGTAAAGGGGAATTCATACATTTTGAAACATATTCTTATGGTAAATATAATTCTAGAAAATATGTTTACATAGGCATAATTGTGGAATGCATGACACTAATAAATTAATCTTTTATGAAAAATAGATAATTATGAAATAGTAGGAGAAATGTATCCCATGTGTGGAATGTCAAAAAATGGAGAATGTACTGTAGCCAATTTCGGAATGAAGCCTTTTATGTTTGATATTGATAATTATGCAGAGGTAAAAAAATATATATATAGTAAAACTTTATAAGAGCATCCTCTATAGGTGCACTCTTACAAAGTGCGCGCTCAAATTCTGGCCTATATATATGACTTCATGAATGTATTTTTTTTATTTATTGTTCTTTAAGTGCACATTGTTAAAGATTAAGAGAGTACACTCATAGAGGGTTTACTGTATTTATTATTTAAAGTTTTTATTTATTAAAAGCAACAAAATATTAATAAAATATTAATAACTTGTAGGTAATTTTTACTGGTGCAGAATTAAAGAAAACTTGAAATTAATACATAACATTTAGAAAGATTTATATAGAGGAAACTTAAGTAAGCACTATATAACATAGCCACATATCAAATTATGTATGCTAATTTAACTATATAATTTAATTCTTATATTTTGAAGTTTTAATTTATTTGCTTTAATAGAAGCTTTTCTCTAATATATTATAAATAAAACAAAAGGCTTATAAATATAATTAAAATACAGTAAAAGAATAATGATTATTTAAAATAAGATATTACTTTTATACGATCATTGGACTTTTGAATTACCCATCTTTGCAGATTTTTGATAATAAGTGAATGTCTTATATTCATTCTTTTCCAATTGCAAATATTCTATTAGAATTACCCATCTCTGGTGATTTTTGATAATAAATGAATACCTTATATTCATCTTTTTCCAGAAATCCAATATTATATGTCTCAAGAGTGTATCCAATCTCAGCAAATTTTTGATAATAAATGAATGTCTTATGTTCATCTTTTCAATTTCAATTCCTTCATTATAACAATATGTTTATCCTTTTCAACACCAATTTCTCACCATAACAACACCCAACCTGAAACGTTTCATTAGTTTCGTCATCTCTGGAGATCTTCGATAATGTTCTCCTTTTCGACTCCAATTCCACTAGAATTACTCATCTCTGCAGATTCTTGATAATAATTGAATGCCTTATATTTATCTTTTTCGACCCTTCAATTTTGATAAAAAAAAACAACAATAAATATAACTTTATCATCCTACCTCAGCAGATTTCCTACAATATGTTCGTCTCCAACATTATAAATGTCTTCAGAAACATACATATCACTGACAAAAAAAGATAATTTTGATTATGACCTTCAGGTAATTGTCATTTTATGTACAGAAAAACGATACGGAATTAAGTTTATAAATATCTAAATTCGAAAGGTACAAATATTTGCCTATAACCAGGTACACCAATGATACAGTTCACTTTAATTAAATCTTGATACAATGAAGTAAAGCTCAAATTTAATTGATACCGATCTATGTCAATAAGAATCGAGAGTGAAACCTGAAATCAAATTGCCATATATATCGATGTCCTCTATAAGTGAATACACATGACATTTACATAACGATCCTGATAGTAATTTGATTCTTTAAACCTCGTGCTACTTCTGTTAATAGTTTAAAATTTAGTGTTGCTCATTCTGTGTGGAGAAAATGACTATATCTTTATATATAAAAAAAAAAAAAGTTTAAATGAGCAAAATTTTTTCTTTTAGCCACTAGTCAAAACCGCTAGTTCCCATTTTGCTTTGTATTATTCAAGTACAACAGTACTTTACTTAAGAGTTCCATATATAAAAAAATCTCATCTTGGTATTTGGCTAAGACATTGCTTGGTCTCAAATTCAGGATCAGTATGCTTTATGTTATTGCCTATGAAACGGATAACTTAACTTTATTACGGTAATATAGTCATAAGACATTGCTTTTTTCAGTCAATAGTCAGTAATTTTTACATCACTCTAGCTATTTAAAACAAAAATTAATTCGGTATAAAATCAATAGACCATAATAAACCAAAATATATAATCAAAATATTCCAGATAAGTGTGAAAAAATAGTATAAAAGTATAAGAGCTGGGAGTGTAAGAAAATTTTTTGCACCCGATGAGCATGGATCTTTTGGTAGGTTAAAACATCGATAACGAGATGTTAACGTTCGGACTGAACTGATTCGACTCTAGAAGTAGTAATTAGACTCAGACTCAAGTAAATTCATATGATAAAATATTGAAATTATATTTATCTTACAACACATTTTAATACAAATATACTGTATATTTGACGCAAGCTTAGAATTACATAAAAAAATTATCCACTCAAAACCGGCTTAAAACTAACTGAATCTAACTGTTTTAATACCCCTACATAGTATTTATAAAAAGTTTTTTTTTTAAAAAAAATAAAAAGTTTCAGGATCTTACCTGGAAGATTAAATTAAAACTACTTAAAATACTTCGTGATTTATATGACATTCATAAAATTAATTTTCTATTTATTTGATATAATTATTTAATGCTGCATCCTTAATATTAACCTCCTTTCTCCACGATTTAGTATATTTAATCTAATCATATAAACAAAAAAGTAAAATAATACAAAAAAAAATACATCTTATAAAGTTGTATTCTCTAACTGTTGAACTCGATTTTCTAAATTAACTAAAAAAGTAACAAAGTCGGTAGAATAAAGAAGAATATTGCTATTTTCAGTTTCTAATTGCACGAATGGATTTGAATTTTTCGAATTGTGTCTTGTTTCCAGTCTTTGAATGCGGCATTACAAGTTAGATAAGTAAGTAACAAGATCAGGGGAAATATCTGAGATTGTTGTGTAAGAGCAAGTAGCAGAATCATTAGTTTCTGAACTAATGGCTAAAATAAAGCTTAAATTAGAAACACTCGAAAAAAATTGTTTAAAGTTCATTAAAGTTCATAAACAGTTATTACCATTTTCATTTGTAAATAGCGAATATGAATTTGAATTATTTAAGTTATTGCTCTTAGGTATTTTACTGGTACTGGATTTCTGCATTTTCTGATAGGTTTTTTCCGTGAAATATTCAAATTTCCAATTTTTTGACATGGTTGTGCGGTGAGTTCTTAAAGAAGATATTGTCGTTCTTTTATAAATTAAAATACAGTCTAACGCCAATATGTACATATTACGGAGTTACAATCGCGGAATTTCGGAGTTCGGAATTATTCCATTGACGGTCCTCACTACTGGTGCATTGTCATGAAAATTTTCCTCAATAGATTTTTTCACTATAGCGCGTTTGCAAATTAAGATATAAACTCATGTGAATAGTAGAGTGCGTCATTTACTAATATTTTTTATATTTTTTTTTGATGCTAGTTATATAAAATAACTTCTACCCACTTTCCAAAAATAATAATGATAAATGATGCACCTTATACATTAGTTAAATGCAAAAAAAATGCACTGTAGTTTTGCCAAAATTGCATTGCTCTAGTCAGCCATTCAGGAAAGTAGAGAGTAAATTGCAAATAATGTATGGGTGTACTCAAGCATCAACCTAGATGCGATTTAATAGTGATCGAAATGGTGCACAAGTATTATGACGTAATTTTAGTTATTGTCATAACATTTTGAACAAAAGACAATAATATGAATGACGATATTATTAATATTTGTTCAAACATTAATATTCCTGTGATTTTCTAATAATTTGTAGTGATGTTCAATTTCAACAATAGATCAAATAAAGATTTCAAATCGTTGTTTGAGAGGAATCTAAAAAGCTTATCGATAATTTTACAAAAATGTGTATCGATAATGAAAATTCATAATAAAACTATAAAAACATTTAATTTTTATAAATTTTTGATAAGTCAGCGCAAAAAAAAAGGAGGTTCAGGACAAAAAGTTTTTTGATTGAAATGATAAACTCATTGATCATTTTTACTTTTAAAATTTTTTCATTCAGCTAATAAACTACCTTGCTTATTTTAATGACAAGCTCGATTGATCCACGAACCTAGCATGACCACCAAAATCAGTTACGTAATCGCTGTTTAAAACCATCTTCCGAAAATTAATGCAATCGTGTATTAGTCATTTATGACGATATCTGTTTATAATATTGTATTTGTTACAATGATTGTTTAAAAATTTCTTTTCTTACC